AAGAAAAATTAAATGTATCAATTAAACCCAATGGCACACACAAATGGAAGTCAAAAATATGCAAGATAATTCCCAATTCAATTGACAAGCCCATAAAGCTTAAGAATTATAAAATAAATCCTTAAAATGTTACTCCATAAAAAAAAACATATAAACCTGCCATGACCTTAATTAAGGGCAAACTTATCATTAGAAAATGTAGTTTTTAGGGATAAAATAAATAGTAAATATGCACTCATCAGCTATAACTTTTTCTTCACATATATGTTAAGTAGTTTACTGTTATACATCCCATTATACATTCCATTAACTCAGATTTTGGGTTTTTTTTTTTTTTTTTTTTTTTTTTTTGTGGGGTGGGGGGTTTGTAAAGCCGGGAAACGAAGGGCAAAACTAAAAGGTATGGTTAATTGGAGTTTTTAGGGATAACATAAATAGTAAATATGCACTCAGCAGCTATAACTTTTTCTTCACATATATGATAAGTAGTTTTACTGTTATACATCCCATTACACATTCCATTAACTTTTAACAAATGTTAAGTTTTCTTTTTAAAGTTTTTTGTCATGCAAATTAAAAGAAAACAAGAACTACCATTTTAACTTTAAGCTACAATGGTCATTTAAAAATAGGAATTTAATCAATAAAACATAAACGTTACAAAATATTATCTTTAACAGAGGGAGAAAACGACCTCAATCACAAAACCTCCGAGTTAACGTATTAAAACAATTGAACTAAAAGAATGGAAATGAAGATTAATAAAAAGAAAGAAAAAGGAAGAAAAATTGGTCTTCGACACTTGCTCATGAGCTAACGCATGAATGTGGCCTTGAAATGGGACATGTTCAAACCTTGGTGCACCTACACACGCACACTTTTCAAAGTCTAAGAAAGCAGACGCAGTTTGACCAACTATGTGTTTAGTGCGTCTTTGAATTTCAAATGAAGTAAGTTCGCGGAAAGTAGAAGCACCATGGCATTAGAGAAGCCCATACGTCAGACACAAAACGAAAGCAAAATGACAAACATATAGTCGGCACTGAGACTTGTTTATTTGAACCCAAAAGGTTATTTTATATTAGAATTTAAAGGGTGTAGTCAAATTCGGATTTGTGAGCATTTTAAAAGATTTTAAAATTCTAGTGTAATTATTAGAAGATTTTAAAAAATTTTAGAATTCATTCAAATCTAGGTGTAGTCAATTAAAGGATTTTAAAATCCATCTAAATCTAATTGTATTAAAAAAATTAAGATTCTAGAAGATTTCAACAAGTTGTGGATTTTGTGGGATTTTAGAGTAAAAAGTATATATAACTGAGACTAAAAAGAATCCAACCTTACCCCCTAGAATTTCAAATCCCTTTCCATCTGGTCAAATCTCTACCAACCCCAGCCACACACAGGTAACCACCATATACTTTGGTGGAATATCTTATTATGACCCCTAGACCTTATTTAGGCATGTATGATCATTAAAGGACATGATCGATCTAGGATTTTGGTTAATACTATTCTCTCGCCATTCTGATTTTTAATGTATATGGTACTACAAGCACTACTGAAGTACCACAGCGTACGTCTGTGGCAAAAGGGCAGTCGGTGGTGATGATTGTTGGTGGTGTAGTGCTCAAAAACTCACCAAAGTTATGTTGATCTATCAATTGAGAGAGAGATGGAGCCGTGGTTGTGTGAAAGGGGACCCGAAAGGTGAGGGGCTAAAGTGGCTATTGAGTACAGTAGGGCAAGGGGAAAGATTTTTCCTTTTTTTTTTTTTTTTTTTTCCAATAAAAAAATTATATGAAAATCCACCACAATCCACCAAAATCTACAAACTAAATCCATTCAAATTCTTTAAAATCCATATAAATTTTGTAGGAGTCTCAAATCCTCTTAAATCCTATCAAATCTATCACTTTTAAAATCCTTTAAAATAATTTAAAATCTTAGTTTGACTGCACCCCCCTTAGAATCACAAATTGAAAACCATAATTTGTGAATTAGGACAAGAAATACTGGTTCAAGCCCCTATTATTCACTCCTTTTAGGCCTAGAGAATTTCATCATGTCTGTGGCCACATTCAAGTAGACTCACCAACTCGGAGCATTGGGGGAAAACTGGTTCAAGCCACTGTTATTCACCCCTTCGGACCCAGAGAGGCTATAGAGAATTTCACTCTGTTCGTGGCCACAGTTAAGCAGACTCATCAACTCATGGCATCGAACCCCATAGTTTATCTAGTTACACGTCAACAACCCTACTCTTCCATTGCCACAGTGCTTATCAGTATTTGCTGATTTCAAAAGTTTTATCAATTCAAGTTTTTATTCAAAAAAAAAAAAAAAAGAAGGTAGGGGAGAGGAAAGGCTACAGTGAGGGGCTCTTCAAGTCAAATAATAGATTTTGTTAAATTAGGATGTTAGATTAGCCATCGGCAAGATTTAAACTCACATCGTCATATAATGACTCAACATTTTTCTACCATTGTGATAGAGGGGCACTTGTGCTCTTCAATAATTCAATTTGGCTTTTTAGTTGAAGAATGGGAGGGGGTTGGAGATGGAGGGTACGGTTTGTGGCCCTTCTTCCCGCGTGCCATAAGGTATCGTTTGGTATGCAGACGGGATGAGACGGAACGGAATGGGACGGGACGGGACGGGACAGGACGGAACGGAACGGAGCGGGAGTAAAGATGCCCTCGGATGGAAACAAGGAGGAAGAAGAAGGAGACGGAGAAGTTATAGTTTTGTGTTCCACGGATGTGGAACGAGTCGTTCCAGGGGGGGTGAGGTGGAACGAAAATTCACCCAAAACTCGTCCTGTGGAACAGCTCGTTCCACCCGTTTTAGGTGCACCAAACGTGGGACGGAATACCTTGTCCCACTCTGTTCCGTTCCGCCCCACATACCAAACGGTACCTAAATGACCTACGAATAGGAAGAATCCTAGAACAAAATGAGAAGTTTGTATTTTTCTGTCTTTTGCTTTTTAATTTTTTTTGGTAAGGATAAAATTGTGTTTTAAAAAATAAAATAAATTAATAGGGTGAATTCAGACAGAAAATGATATTTAAATAGAAAAACACTGTTGATTACTATGTCTTTTCATTTCAAGAGGCTAATTGAGTCGATGTGGTGCTGGATAACGATTCATACAACAACTAATAAAGCATGCACCATGTGTAACTTTACAAGCAATGATTGACCCCATGTAAAGCAAATCACCTTTTAATCTGTGAATTATCAATCACTTTTCAAAATTAAATTCCGCCTTCTTTATATTTCAACCAAACCATTTAGACGTTGCATTTAGTTTGTTGAACTTCTATGAGATCATTTGGATTGAAAACAAACGATACCCAATCCAAATAGAGGATCCAAATTGAAAATGCTTACAACAAATCAAATAGGAAGAAGAATAGGAAGGGTACTGGAATGGGAAGTAGGAGTATGGTGTCTGGCCGTGTTTGATAAGATGTATGGAAGCTAAGAGTGCCAAATAAACTAAAGTTTTTTATATGGAGGAGTTGCAACAATACTTTGGCAGTGCGGAGGAATCTAGCCCGAAGGAGGATGCGAGTGGAGACAACATGCGTTTTGTGTGGTTCGTTTGAGGAAACGAAGGAGCATTTGTTCTTTGGGTGTGAATTTAGCCGGGTCTTTTGGTATTGCCGCCCCTTATAGATTAACGTGGATGCCGTCAAAAGGGTGGATTTTCTGGAAAGTTGGAAGAAGATTGAAGCACAGTTTAAGGATGAGGCGGTAAGAGGTGAGCTGCTACAAGAAGTTGTTTTCGGCCTTTGGAGAATATGGAAATGTCGGAATGCATCGACTTTTGAAGGTATGTATAAAACTCCAAAGGATGCGATTGATTTATCATGAAGCCATATTCAAGAGTTTAGAGATACTCAGCTGGTAAAGACAAGGGATAAGCAGTGTTGCGGGAAACCTTCAACGTTGGTTTTTGCTAGGCAACAAGTTCGATGGAAATGTCCTAGTTTTGGGACTTCGAAAATTAATTGTGATGGGGCATGGTGTGGGAAATCAATGTTAGGTGGCTACGGGTGAGTGGTGTGAGATTTTGCGGGACTTTTGCAGATGGCTGGTGGGGTGGGAGGTGAGTTTTTCAATGATGCAACTATGTTGGAAGCGGCTGCAATTCGTGCAGCTTTGGTGATGTGTAGGGACATGCACTATGAGATGGTAGAGATAACTCTATTGCTCTATCTCTTATCAACATGATAAATGGGGAATGCTCAATTGATTCAAACTTGGAATGCTTCATTTTTGATATTTAGAATTTGGCATCTCAGATTAGGGAGATGAAGTTTATGTATGTTTAATGGAGTGGCAATCTCGCTGCCCATGCAGTGGCTTCCTATGCTAACTCGTGTCGTGGTTCAATCTCAAAGAATGCTTATGATCCTGAATTTCTTTTTAATATTCTTGTAGAAAATGTTTATCAACATGATAAATGGGGAATGCTTAATTGATGCAAACTTGGAATGCTTCATTTTTGATATTTAGAATTTGGCATCTCAGATTAGGGAGATGAAGTTTATGTATGTTTAATGGAGTGGCAACCTCGTTGCCCATGCAGTGGCTTCCTATGCTACCTCGTGTGATGGTTCAGTCCCAAAGGATGCTTATGATCCTGAATTTCTTTTTAATATTCTTGTAAAAAATGTAAACGTTTTTATTAGAATTTAATAAAATTTATCCTTTGATGAAAAAAAAAAAAAAAAAAAAAAAGCAAGCAGAATAGCCTTCATTGTTTTTTTATTAATAAAGGCAAACTCACCTCACCTCATCAGTTACATACGACTCCGAATGTGCTGCAATTACAACAAATAAATAAAAAGAAACCAACAAAAACTCCTATATCCAATAAGGCGTCCAGGTTCATCCTCTGCTAAATACCAAGATTCGTACCTAATATCTCCTTATAAATTAAAGCCCTAAATCCATACTTTCCCACTCAAATCGCACCATTCCTGAATTTGATAATCCCTGCCCGTCAGGTTACACTTTGATTCATTCATTTTTTAATCCACAAAATAATCCTCCATTATTATCTACTTAATTATAAACCCCTAACTAATATCTGCTCCCTTGAAACACAGAGCCGCAGGGCCAAAAATTAAACACAGAGGCCTTTCGACCTTGGTCACCTCCTTCAATGGCGTCCATGGCCACCCTTTTCGTCAAAACCCCCTACCCCTCTCACTCTTTCCCCAAAACTTCAACTACCCATTCCTTCCCGGCACTCAAGCTCTCAACCCATCTCGGGTCCAAGCCCAGGACCCCCCAGAGGCTCCGAATTTCAAACGGGTTGATCGAGCCGGACGGCGGGAAGCTCGTCGAGCTCTTCGTCCATGAGTCGAAGAAGGGCGAGACGAAGAAAGAGGCGGCGGCGCTGCCCAGGATCAAGCTTTCAAGGATCGACCTCCAATGGGTTCACGTGATCAGCGAAGGCTGGTCGAGCCCTCTCCGCGGATTCATGAGAGAATCCGAGTTCCTCCAAACTCTTCATTTCAATTCGCTCCGACTCGATGACGGGTCGGTAGTGAATATGTCCGTGCCGATCGTTCTGGCCATCGACGACGCGCAGAAACGCCGGATCGGCGATTCGACCAGAGTCGCGCTTGTCGACTCGGATGATAATCTGATCGCTATTTTGAAAGAGTAAGATGATCTTCCTCTCCCTATTTCCTTTCAAAGCTCGTTAATATTTTCACTTTAGATAGCATGTTTTGATTGTAAATATCATTTTCTTTTTGCCAAAGTAAATTTTTTTTTTTCTTGGGTTACAATCTTAAGATCATCTCTGACTCTTACCTTATAATTTAAAATTTTTAGCTTAAAAAATTTAGGTTTTAATACAAAAATATTTGTTTTGCTCCAACTTTTTAGTCTAAAATTTTTTTCCTAGATTATTAAAGAATGAATTTAGGCTAACTTTTTTTTAAAAAAAAAATTATGTAGATTATCCTAAATTAATTTATAAACATTTTAACAAAAAAATATTTAAATTACGATAAATATTAAAAAAATACTAAATTGATACTTGAAAAGTGAGTTTTGTGTAGATATTTGAACAGATACATAGGAATTTATAGAATTGTTGGGTGAATTTTGAGTTAAATAATTTTTTTTAAATTATTTTAGCCGTTGGATTTAAATTTGGGCCGTTAGATTTTTTTTTACCGTTAGATTTGATTATATTCGATCTTACCTGTTGGATTCAATAAAACTAAAAAAAAATTTAAATGTAGGCCGTTGGATCAACCAACGGCCAGTTGATCTCAGCCGTTGTTCATGAAACTAGCTGTTGGATCAATGATGCTGGTGGCCAACATGCCCACGGTTGTGGGGCAATGCTGCCTTAGGCGCATTGCTCACGTGAGTGCGTCTGCCTTCCAACCGTCCAAATTTACTCGCGTTGGTGGGGCCCACACCATTTTTTGGACTAAATCTTGGTCGGTTTCTGGCTTTTTTTTCTTCAGGTTTTAGGTTTTAGGGCCAAATTAGAACTAGGGTTGAAATAGATTGGGGCGGGGGAATAGAAGGAAAATTATAGGTTTTAGACCATGTGTTGGAGTTGGCCCAAGGAGGGAATTTTTTTTGTTTTTTTTTTTTTCAAGCGCTCCTCTACTTTTATAATGACAGATGATTTAAGTGGCCGTAATATGAACACATTGAAAAAATATCATCCAAATGGTCTATATGCATTTCCACTCGACAATATTATTGACTGTGATTGGGAATTTTGGGTCGCTATCACATACGTGTCAATATGTTACGTGATGAGTAAAAATGATAAATATATGTTTTTTTAATGTTTATTATTGAACTTTTAGTATTAAACTTAAAAGTGAGTGACCATGCATTTTCAAACATCTTGAGTTACATGATTTCGGTTTTGAAAAGCAAGATTCTTTTTATTTCCTAGTAGTTTGCGGGTGGTAAAAATAGGAACTCAACTATAGAAGTTGAGTGGTAGAAATATTATGAATTCTTTTCTCTTATCATTATTAGCTGTACACATTTCTAAAGAACAATTGTGAAATTATTCAAATTGAAATCTTAGATCATCATATATTTATCGATGCAATGTATTTGATTTTGTTGGACTTCAAACATTTGAAATAAAATTCGTATATAAGATGAGTTGCCAATAGGATTTTTAAACTCTTTGTGTTCATCTTTAAATATATGCAAATATATATTGATGCCACATTGCATCCAGTCATTTTCTTAAGAGGAATATTCAATGTAATGTCTTCAAGCATTCGTTGGTTGGAGAGTTGTACATGTCCCAAGTTTTCTTTTGCAACTTTTATCCCAACCATCATGGCATTATCACATTGGGTTCTACAACATGGTTGCGATTTCATGGCAATGATGTAGCTCGCATATCAAGTTTTTTTCGGCCTGCAATTGGTTATATATGTATATTTATGTCAATCATGTGATGCATACCATGTTGTAGAACACTGTGTGATAATGCCATGGTCGTAAGGGAAAAAGTTGGGAAGTGGAGTAGTGTACTTTCTCGTTTATGTGTCTGACGATAAAACCTGAGTATAAGAACATGTTCTGCTCCTTTTGGGTTCGAAATGAAGTTACTATATGAAAACTGTATGTCTTATCCCATGACTTGCCATGGTTTCTGATGTCTAGCTATTTTATTTATTTGGCAGTATTGAGATCTATAAGCACCATAAAGAAGAACGGATTGCCCGCACTTGGGGAACAACTGCCCCTGGTTTGCCTTATGTTGATCAAGCCATAACCAATGCTGGAAATTGGCTAATTGGAGGTGACCTAGAGGTTCTAGAACCTATAAAGTACAATGATGGCCTTGATCGCTTCCGATTGTCTCCTACACAACTCCGTGAAGAATTCACAAAGCGCAATGCTGACGCTGTATTTGCGTTTCAGCTGCGAAATCCTGTCCACAATGGACATGCTTTGCTGATGAATGATACCCGTCGTCGGCTTCTTGAGATGGGTTACAAGAACCCCATTCTGTTGCTGCATCCATTGGGAGGCTATACAAAGGCAGATGACGTTCCACTTAGTTGGCGAATGAAACAACATGAGAAGGTATAGAAACGTTTTGTTTGTTGAAAGCCCTAACTAAATTGCATGCGTGCTTGTCCTTAGCCAAATACTGAATTTTGTTCGAAATTGTTCTAATGTTTCCTCAGGTTCTTGAGGATGGTGTCCTTGATCCCCAGACGACTGTTGTTTCCATTTTCCCCTCTCCCATGCATTACGCTGGCCCAACTGAGGTGCAGTGGCATGCAAAGGCTAGGATCAATGCAGGGGCCGACTTTTATATTGTTGGTCGGGATCCTGCAGGTATGGGTCATCCAACTGAGAAGAGAGATCTGTATGATGCCGATCATGGCAAGAAAGTATTAAGCATGGCACCTGGACTGGAGCGACTTAACATCCTTCCCTTCAAGGTAAGTCAATTCTTTGGCAGTGATATTATTTGCCCTTCTTGTATGATATCTTCCGTCATCTAAGTTATTCCCTTGCAGGTTGCTGCTTATGATAAAACTCAAGGCAAAATGGCATTTTTTGATCCCTCGAGGCCTCAAGACTTCCTTTTCATATCTGGCACAAAGGTGCGAGTTTTTTCGATGCTGTTTCCGACATGTTTTTTTCTTTATTGTTATAATCAGCCATTCAAAGTAGAGTTTAAGTGCATAAACTAAGTTTAGTTTATCTAAAAGACATTGCAAATTACCATGACAGATGCGAACACTTGCAAAGAACAAAGAGAACCCTCCTGAAGGATTCATGTGCCCTAGTGGCTGGAAGGTGCTAGTTGACTACTATGACAGTTTGGCTCCTGCAGACAACGGTAAAGTCCCAGAAGCAGTTCCAGCCTAGGTGGAGTTGATGTATCATATTGTACTTGCACTGTTTGGGAGATAGCTAATCTAGTCTCCTCTGTGTGATCAAGATTGCGTGATTAGTCTCCTTTGTGTGATCAAGATTTCCTAAGAATCTCTCACTTGTTTCGAATAAAATCGTGTGAGGCACTGGTGCAGAGAAACGATAATCGCCTCAACTGTAATTAGCGTTGTGTAAGTGCATCTTGCATCATTGCATTTGTGCACTCCCACAGCGCATTGTATCATATGTGGTTTTTTCTGTAGAATATTAGATTGTGCTATGCCCTTAATATGGCAAAATATTCCTCTATGGTATGCACTGGTTATGATTTAAGATGCTGGATCCAAAAGAAAAGCATGATCAAATTCTCCCTCAATTTCTTGTCTTGGAGCACAGATTTAGTTTGGAACATTTTTAGATTTGACAACAAGCATCCAATTGCTCTATACTGTTAGATGGGGGTTCGAACTTGGGTGCAATGCTATGGGGACTCTACATTGGCCAACTACTTTAACCCGTGTTTGCTATCCCTCATTGGACAGCTGAATATGGGCTTACAGGGAACTGGTATGAACTTGAAAACCCGACTTATGGACCAAGATATGGCTGCACACCCAATGCGCGGACTCCATTGTCTCCAACTTAATCACTATGTATCAGCAAACCTGTCCAGAAGTCCCACCATAACCACCCCAAAACAATTCGTTCATCTGACTTCCTCTGAAGACATTAATCATCTCCAAATCCCTTGAATTAGACTCATTAAACACGGCGAAACACAAATATATTGAAGATCAACGTGTTGTACCTTCTAGCACCAAATATTTATCTATCCCTGAACTGCAAGAGTAAGAGCACAGCTATCTGGAACAAAGCTTGGGGTAGAAGGTTCGTCCATAGGATGTTGGTGATCACCGTTCGACCCACGAGTGGCCTCTCCATGAGCTCTTTGGCAGGCTTATCAGTGGCGAGAGCCAGAGCAGCCATTGTGACCATAATCAGATTCACCTACAGCAGCTGGACTGTTGTTAAAGGTACTTCACTGGCCAAGGCAGCTGCACAAAGTTGATCACAAGAGCTGCAACATTTATTGTGAGCTGGAATTAGACAAATTTTTGGATGTTGGCAGAATCTCCTCTTCCCCATCTTAAAACAGTTACCAAAGTTGCAAATTTGTCATCTAAAATTACAATGTCTGAGCTCTCCTTAGCAACTTCAGTGCCCTGAATCCCCATCGAGAGTCCTATGTCCGTTTTTTTGAGTGTGGGTGCATCATTCATACCATCACCTGTCACAGCAACTACGTGGCTTTTCTGTTTTAAGCCCTACACCATCAGAAGCCTATCAAATGGCGAAGACCTCGCCATCACATGAATTCCATCAACTTTCTGCATTCTTTGCTCCAGTGTGTAGTTACGAAATTCTACACCTTCTACTACCCCTTCTTTCGCTTCCTTTTGGTCAGGTCGGAGTATGCCACACTTGCCAGATATTGCTTTAGCGGTGAAAACATTGTTGCCAGTGATCAATTCCACTTACACCTCGGTAAACTGGCAAGCTTCTACTGCTTTCCTCATTCCTGGCCTATATAAATCGTTTAGACCAACCAATCCTAATAGGATCAAGCTGCTTTCTTTGAGCTTTCCGTACTTCTTTTCATCATTAATGTGCGTATCCTGAACTTGCTTGTGTGCCAAAGCAATGCATCAGAGACTACTTGTTGCCATGGCTAATCTGCTCAAACTTCCAACATTTCATCATCATTCAGATCTTTTGTGACATAGACGTATCGTAGTAACTCGAGCACATTTCTAGTATCATTTCTACAGTTTCTTTCCAATGCACATGGGTAGCATTGTCTGCCTTCATTCTCATCAAAACCGCCGCTTCGTTTCTTATGTGAATTGAAGGCTTCAACATGATGAATGACATATTTCTTTCAATTCCTCCATGTCCATGTGTAGCTCCAGAGTAGCCCATGAAAGAATGGCTTTTTCAGTACAACTACCCGAAAACTCAAATCCTAATCCTGAATTAGACCTATACACACCACCGGTTGTGTTAAATGCTACTCCTCGGATAAATTAAGAAGATAATGAGAAATTGATGATTAAGAAGCATCATCTTCTACAGATTTCTGTCCAAGCCAAAATATTTGTAACCTTCATCCCATTGAGCGTCAACGTGGTAGTTTTGTCTGTACAAATTACGGTGGCACATCCCATAATCTCTCAAGCAGAGAGCCTCTACACCAGAGTGTGCTTCGCAATCATCCTCTTCATTGAATAAGTGAGAGTGAGAGTGAAAGTGACAGCAAATGGGAAGCCTTCAAGAATTGCAATCACAACAACTACTGCAATTGCTACCATGTCGATCGCAGCATTCACCACAAAATCAATCTTCGCCTTTCTGCCCTCAAACTTCCCAAATTCACTATTGGTCTTCGTGTTGTCCGTGAAATAACGTGCTACCAAGACCAAAACTATGAATGCAACACCCAAGCGAATCTTTGCCATTAGCGGGTTTAGTTTACTTAGCCGCTCTTGTCATGGCGTCTGCCGATCACTCGTGTCACGGATGACCAAGCTCATCATTTCGCCCCATGTCGAGTTCATGCCAACTGAAGCCACAAGCATTTGTCCATATCCATCGACCACCTTGGTTCCAGAATACAAGAACGGATTCTGGCCTCCGTTAACTTCCACATGCTCACTCTCCCCGTCATGCTTGATTCGTCCATCCATAGACAAATGTAGATAAGATTTCTACCACCTGTGAAAATATAATTAAAAAAGTCTAAAATACTTGCAAGAGAACAATGTTCTTGTAGTATAGATAGCTCAAGTAAGATCGTTTTCGACAAGAATTGATATAAATAATTTGTATTTAAAATCAATTCTTAGTTAACTATTTAACACAAGATTTAGAAAAAGATTGAAATTGTGGATAGAAATAACAAAAACAAGTAACAAAAATAAGGGTAAATTACACAAAACTATCTCAACTATGTGTCGCACAACAATTTCATGTTTTAAAGATTGCAATGTCATACATCTTATGAATTTGTTGCAATGTCATACCTCCGTTAACTTTTCTGTTAATTTTTCTATTAAACGTTGACGTAGCATGAGTGAGGCCCACTTTTTTGCTAATTGGAATAAAAAATTAATTAATTAACAATAAATTATTTTTTATTTATTTAACAAATAAATATTAATTATAAATAAATAATTTTATGGGCCCCCTCATCCCAATCTCTCTCCCTCAAACTCTCCCTACGCACCCCAGAAAACGGGCACCGGCCAGCCAGAAATATTTATGCTCCGTTCACCCTAAAATCTTTACCAATGCACATGAAATTTATCTCAAAATGAAGATCAAAGAGTAGAAATATACCCTTTTTACACCAAGTCGTGGTTGGATAATGGCCTGAGAACATCCTGAGGTTGTCAGCCCATAATTGGGCTTTTGGTTTCTCGTGAAATCGAGACAGATTCGAGTCTCCCATGCTCGAATCCGAACCTTAGGATGAAGGGGAAGTGACCTGTGGTCCAAGTCTCGTCCAATCTGACGAGGAATTGACGGATTTTCATTGGAAAACCGTGAGTTGGTAGTGGAGTCCATCTATGGTGTTGTACAAGAAGATGAAAGGTTAGAGAAACTGGGGAGTTGAGCGTTGAGGGAGAAAAGAAGAAAAAGCGACACAGTTGTGGTGGTGTTCTAGTGATGGCCGTTCTCTGGGGCTCGGCTTCTTTGTGAACACAGAGAAGAAAAGATGGTGAACGTAGGGAGAGATGGGAGAGTCTGAGGGAGAAAGAGAGATTGGGATGGGGGCCACAATTTTTTTTATTTTTTATAATTAATTATTAATTTTAAATAAATAACAACTAATTTATTTTTAATTAATTAATTTTTTATTCTAATTAGAAAAAAGTGGGCTGTGCATATGCTATGTCAACATTTAAAAAAAAATTAACAGAAAAGTTAACAGAGGTATGACATTACAACAAATTCATAAGATGAGGTATAACATTGTAATATTTAAAATATGAGGTATGAGATTGTTATGCGATTGATAATTAAGATATTTTTTTGTAATTTACACTAAAAATAACTAAATTAACAAGAATGAAATCAGCAACAATAAAAACAAACGTTTTGGCAAAATCAAAAGTAAAAGGCACAAGAGTTTAGCCCCCACTATTAACAATCCTATGTAGTTCTACCAATTACTTATGAATTATCACATACGTGTTTTGAAGGTTAGGGTTTCCTAATGGATATTCTCCTCGTGATATTCGCTTTAAGTGAACTCATTAAGTTTTGTGAAAACTTTTGAAAAACCCAGCAACCTTAAGAGTGTGATGTTCGCTTTAAGTGAAATTATAATTATCAATCACAAGAAACCCTACTCAATTTCAGGGTGATATTCCAACATAAATTGCATCAAATTACTTGTCCAAACATCCTAATGGAAGCTAAGCATTAAGACATAGAAGTTTAAACGAATTTGATGCCAAACATTTGTGGTTTTTGTGTGGATACAGTTCGAAGATGAACAAGTCATCACCAGAAGACGTGATAAAGGATGGAGGGAATGAAGTATTGTTTAATGACCAAATCACGAAGGGGAGAACAACATGGAGTGGTTCTGATTCTCATGCCCTGCCACATGCCCAATCACATCAGATTAATTGAGAGCTAATTGTACAATATTTATGATTTAGGGCTTGCATTCTTTAGAATGGAAACACATTCTAAATTAGGACTATCATAACATTGTCTTATGAAAATTCTAATGGAAAGCAGTCCATACCTTCATTAGAAAGGAAACTGAAGGTATATGAATTATGAAGTGCAGAACTTCAAAAATGAAGGGCAAAAATTTTGTGTATGCTAAAGAAAGCGCACTGCATAAACCTCAGTTTTAAATATGACAATATGATAATGCATTTTCAGTGCATATAACTATACTTCCACAAGTTAGGCTCCATCTAAATGTAATTGGTTTTCTCTGCTAGATTGCCATGGATGAAGTATGATGATTTATTTACCGCATCTAATGATCTTACTTATGAAATGCAGGAAGAAGTTATCAAGTTAAATGAACAATTTAGCCATTTGAAAAGTTTGGTAAGCATCTTATGCCTTGGTTTATGTGGAATCAATTTTCTCCTCTTCCATGCTGCTCAACGAAGGAAGCTTAGTTCATGCTCCAAATTTCTTTTAGGGTTATTTTTCTGCTATGACAATGTTTGGTTGGTGACTGAGAAACCTGAATAATGCTGTAATTTTGTATTTCTAAAGCATCCACATTGTTTTTTCGGCCAAGC